GAGTAAAGCTTTTGCTCCAAGGTGCATCTCTTATTTATGAATATAAATGAAAACAATGGGACTCACAAAGGTATGCCAGTTTCCTTCAAATGTCTCTAAACTAAGGTACAATCAAAGGCCAGACTGGTCCTGTAATCTGCCCTTTTTCATAAACAATGAAGTACCGAAGTGATTTGGAGGGTTAAAGAACAGCAACATTGCTTTAAAATCTCTTTAAAAGACTAGCTAAATGAAGCAGATGGGTAAACACCTCCCTGACACCTGGCCTAGCACCGTATATGATCTTTTATTCATACATCATGCAGACAATATGATAAAAAGGGCTTTGTAACCTATTTTAGTTACTGGTGCAATTAAGCTCCTTCTCCCACCCCAACCCAACCTGTGAATGCTAATTCTTCTAGAGCTCTTTACAGTCAGGTGCACCTTTCCAAATAGATGTTATGTATGTAAGAGTCCATAAGTGCTCTAAAAGGGCTTTTAGTCTCTCTGATCAAAGTCTGTTGGAGGATTTTTTAAATTTTATTTCATGGATCATTGAGTCAATAGACAGTAACAGATCAGTTATGGAGCTGCTATGGCTTATTAATTCAGTATATGTGTTGAGCTCATATGATCAGAATGCATCTTTTTTCAAAAAAAGGGGGGGAAAGGAATCCTTATGAAATGCAGTTATGGGGGAAACACACCTTTTCATGGTGAAAGAGTAAGGAATATATGTATTTCTCTCTTTAGCTTTAGAATTTAGAGCCTGCTAGGGTGAGAGGGAAAGAAGATCCCATTCATCTGACCAAGAAGGCCTTGTCCTTTCAAACCCATGTTGCAAAGAGAAGTGGAAGGGCAAAGTACCCACCATACAGTGTTGATGTTAGCCAGCTTCTGTTGTGTGTCCATGTTATTTCCCAAAGCATTGCCATTTTATGGCAAAGAAACTATCTGGAAGATTCAACAGGGGCAAAAGCCATAATTCATGCTTTATACCAGTGGTTCTGAGCCTCTGGTCCTCCAAATGTTTTGGCCATTGACTCTCAGAATTCCTGAGCCATGCTTCTGGGAGATGAAGTCCAAAACATTTGGAGCGCCAGAGGTTCAGAACCACTGCTGGACACAGATAAGAATTTATCCATCAAGAAATGGGAAATGGGTGTGTCTTATCCCTGACTGTGAACATGACAGTAACTAATGCCAGAAGATATTTAGGGACAGGGGAAAATGGCAGAATGGCACTTCCTCCTTTCTATATACCAAATCAGACTGTATCAGCAGGTGAACCATTACTTCACCATGAACCTTCACAACCTGAAAGCAGGAGGGCATTTGGGGTGGGGTGCTGGTCAAGAAAAAAAAAATCAGGGAACTCAAGAGAAATAACTGGTAAGACTGCCTTTAATACCCTGTCCTTCTGCCCCAGCTGCCAGAGATAACTGTCTCATGGTAGGGCCAGACCTAACAATAACACTAATCCACCACTGGTAGCTTGATAACTCTACAAACATTATGAAGCAAGGTCCTGTGTGTGTGTTTGGGGAGTAAGGCTGTCCTTCCATTCTCTTGATTCTTAATTTCATCTGTCTTTTCTGGTAAAGCTCTTCAGATAACAAGCAATATAAACTTGATTAGACAGGTTCACAAGGACTTTCTGCTATTGTCGACATCATTCCAAACTCTCAAAATTACCTAAATTGACTTTGGCTGTTCTCTGACCTACACAGATGCTTATCACAGTCCCTTTCCTATTTCCTATTTGGAAGTACAGATAGAGGCACAACCATATGAAGCAAACGGTACACAGACCCTGCAAGAATCAGTACTATTGAGATAATTCAGAAGCTGATGGCTACCTCCAACATATTTTTTCTCTCTTCTCTTCCTTGTAATAACATCTGCCTGATGTCTGTCACAAGACCAACTGTCAATCAGAACTTGATAATACTTATAGCTTTTACTCAGAGTGATGAGGCTTATGACCCAATCTCAGCTGAAGGGCAAACCAGGTTGTTCAGATGTAATCATCCTTTCTTGCACTGCTTCAGGATGTCATCCTCTGGCTTCTGATCCTGAATCACAGACAAAAGAACTGGGATGTAAGGGGGTTGCCTCCTGTGTCCTGTGGAAGTAGCACAGTGAGCCTGGGTTATTAATCAGAAGGAGTCACTAGGAAAGCTGTCTTCCTTGGAGAGGGCAGGGAGTGTGGACAAACCTTGGAACAGAAGTGGAAATGCCAGATACTGGCAAAATGAAAGCAGGAGCACACAATTTGTATAAGGAGATGTTGGTGTGAACAAATAGAAACAGACAGTTGCTGTGTGCAAAGGAAAACCCTGAGAGCTGCCAAAGCTGGGTTTTTCAAACAAGAATAAAGTTTCTCAGCATTGTTCTGAATACTGTAGTCATATCTAATACTGAATCCCACATGATTTCCCCCTTGTGTTTCTTTTTTGGAGAATAGAAACAGCACTGCCTTCTTTCTTTTCTGTTTGTGAAAACTGTCAATAATATCAACGCATCCAAGTAAGACTAGACATTAACCAGCAACTCATCTAAAAAGGCTGAATATTTAATTACTAATGGATAGTCAAGCCCACTATTTTGTAAGATATATATCACATGCTCTTAACCACAAAAATGAGGGTGAAGCAAGAGAAAGTAATAAAAGGAATATTCACCCAGTTCCCTGCAAACAAATATTTCTGATCCGCACGAATAAAGTGGTGAACAGCTTATTGAAAAATGCTGTTTGCTGGAGACCTAAACTCTAGTGAACAAGCCTCTCTAGGCTCATTTGGAAAGGCTTCCAAGCAAGGCAGACTGCTGTTTATCTATTAGATATGAGCTCTGGAACAAGCAGAAATGGCTGCCAAGATTTACTCTGACCTAACTCTGACCTTTTGAATTCAAACTGCTCCCTGAACTAATACCCTGGCTACCAAAACAAGATGAGGGTACACTTAACATGGGGCTCCATCATTGTAATCACATTCCTAAGTCAGTTTCTTTTTCAGTTGAGGTAGAGAATTGAGTGTAAAAATGTGGCAATTGAGCTCTTGCCAGATTTATACCCTCATCTGAAGGATGTAACTACCATGTTTCCAATTAATTTAATGACATTTTCACTCCTCTCTCTCTCTCTTTACCTTTCATAAATGTTTGCTCACACAAATGTTTTGTATGTTCCTTGTGGAATATAAATGGTTTCACAATCCCACTGCACAGACTTCAAAGAGGAAACCTAGACCAAGGACCTATACAGACTGCCAAAAATAATCCAGCTTGAGGCCACTTTTCTGTCCTGGCTCAATGCTAAGGAATCATGGGAATTGTAGTTTTTTCTGAGATATTGAGTCTTCTCTGCCAGAGAGCTCTGGTGCCACAATAAACTACAGTTCCCATGATTTCTTAGCACTGAACCAGGACAATTAGAGTGGTTTCAAGCTGGATTATTTCTAGCAGTCTGTATAGGCCCCAAGATTCCAGTCAAACAGCTTAACTGTAACAGTTGTTGTTGTTGTTGTTGTTGTTGTTGTGCCTTCAAGTTGTTTCCAAATTATGATAACCCTAAGGTGAACCTATCATGGGGTTTTCTTGGCAAGGTTTGTTCAGAGGAGGTTTGACATTGCTTTCCCTTGAGGCTGAGAGCATATGAGTTGCCAAGGTCACCCAGTGGGTTTTGTGGCTGAGCTGGGAATCAAACCCAGGTCTCCAGTGTTGTAGACCAACACTCAAACCACTACACCATACTCATACTGTAGCATTCCACCAGTGAAATTTCATGTATTCCCCTCCACCATGGTAGGGGTGGGAGAGGAAAGGAATTCAAATAATGAAAAATTATCTGGTCTTGGTTGGGTCAGGGAGAAACAAAAGTGGATTTACAGATTGAATTAATCCTCCCTAACCCTAACCCTAACCCTTGGAGCCCAGAAGAGGCACATCTTCATTGTATGAATTGCCTCTGCATCTTCTCTTCCCTACTAGTAAGTAGCAACAGCAGCAACTGTGGACCCTCCTGAGATTTGACAGCTGCAGTGTTGAATGGAACAGAAAGGGCTAGAGAACAGACTGCTACTCCTTCTGCCCAATCTGGACATGATCTATATACTCTACTATAAGTTGACTTCACATGTAAGTCAAGGGCAGGTTTGGAGGCCAAAATTATGGATAAATCGATGGTAAAATGTAGAGGCACGTAATAAAGATCTAAAGGATAAGCCAAAGGAAAACAATGCCAAAGAACTTACAAAATTCCATCAGACATAACTGTGCTCACAGTAACATCTGGATGGATGAGAGAGTGGGGGGGGGGTATCAGTACTTCCAGAACAGATTACCCTCTTGCCTTTCACTAGGGGATGGTTCTTTTTTTCAATAAAACCTAAGGTACAATACTTACATTGATAACTTGACTCATTTTTTTGGGGGGGGGCAATATTTTCAACTAAAATTTCTAGAATTATACATGAGTGTACCAGAAGCAACAGAGAGTGGGAAATCACTTATGGAGTTAGTAAGGACAGACCTACTATTAGGCGGAGTGAGGCAATTATTTTGACAACTGATTTTGGATGTAATGAAAAGGGATTAAATTCTTATTTTATTGATTTTATGGGGTGGGAGTGATTCTTGTGGAATTTTCAAAAAAGATGCCCAAATTACTTGTTTGGCCTTTGGTCTATGCACTTCCATTAGGAGTAGGAAAGGTAGAGAGTGCATGTTTGTAGCTGCTAACAATTCTAATTAAGGAGCAAAGATACCAATTGCTAAAGAAAGAAACCAATCCTTTATTGCAAGAACTCTATTTAAATGTAGGAAGGCTATATAGGACTGTTAGGCTAACAATAATACAATACTGAGGACGTTATCACACTGGCCCTAAAGCAGCGTCATTTCAGCGT